TGAGAATGTCATGGGTTGCTCTGAAAGGAGAAATTGTAGTTAGGGATGAGAAAAGCAACTCGAAGCACCTTACAGGATCTCAGTCTTGAAGCAGCAGGTAGGCTGAGCTAGAAACAAGGTGGGCAAAGGGATTCCAGATGGAAAGATGGACCATCCACTGCTGTTTTCCAGGTGAGGAAACGAGCTTATAGTCTTGCTTTGCCTTTCAGAGATAGAGGCAAAAGGCAGAAAGTCCTGAGTGCTAGGTGAACATGGTAAGATCTTCCTGGATCTAATGAGCAATTTTTCAGAGATAATGAAGCACTAATAAAGCAAAGTTGTAAATCACCAGCATTCACAAGGGATCCCAAGTGCAAGATTTGGATGGTGCTGGGCACAGCAGCTCACGCTTATAATCCCAGCACTTTGGGAGGCTGAGGCGGGCAGATCACAAGGTCAGGAGTTCGAGACCAGCCTGACCAACTTGGTGAAACCTTGTCCCTACTAAAAAAAAAATACAAAAATCAGCCAGGCATGGTGGCGCGCACCTGTAATCCCAGCTACTTAGGAGGCTGAGGCAGAAGAAACGCTTGAACCTGGGAGGTGGAGCTTGCAGTGAGCCGAGATCGTGCCACTGCACTCCAGGCTGGGCAACAGAGTGAGACTCCATCTCAAAAAAAAAAAAGATTTGGATGGTTTAGAACGGGGGTCCCCAAACCCCGGGCCATGGACCAGTACTGCTCTGTGGCCTGTTAGGATCTGGGCCACACAGCAGGAGGTGAGCAGCAGAGCATGAACCCTATTGTGAATGGTGCATACAAGGGATCTAGGCTGTGTGTTCCTTATGAGAATCTAATGCCTGATGATCTGAGGTGGAACAGTTTCATCCTGAAACCATCCCCGCCGCGTTCTGGCTGTGGAAATATTGTCTTCCACAAAACCAGTCCCTGATGCCAAAATGTTTGGGGACTGCTGGTTTGAAACAGCCCATTCCCAGGCCAAAAGAGTAACTAATAGGAAGCACATCCTATTAGCAGAGAGTTGGCCTCAGCATCTTTTATGTGAAGCCAACCAAAGAATGTGCTCAGGAAAATAAAGGCCATAAAGCGGTGGAGATGAGTGATTATTAGAATCACACCTAACTGGCTGGACGTGGTGGCTCACGCCTGTAATCCCAGCACTTTGGGAGGCCCAGGCGGGTGGATCACCTGAGGTCGGGAGTTCGAGACAAGCCTGAGCAACATGGAGAAACCCCATGTCTACTAAGAGTACAAAATTAGCCAGGCATGGTGGCCCATGTCTGTAATCCCAGCTAATCAGGAGGCTGAGGCAAGAGAATCACTTGAATCCGGGAGGCAGAGGTAATGGTGGGCTGAGATCGCCCTGTTGCACTCCAGCCTGGGTGACAAGAGTGAAAGTCTGTCTCAAAAAAAAAAAAAGAAAAGAAAAATCACACCTAACTATACTTGGCATTTACTCTAGTATTGTATGACTACTTATCCAGTCAATGATTGATTGCCTATCACATGGCAGGCATTACTCTAGGGACTTGGGTTATATCAGCGAACAGAATCCACTGAACAAATTACCTTCCATCATAGAGCTCAATTCTGTGCTTAGTGCTGATTCCTGATCAGGAAGATTCTTCATTACCAGAGCCCAAGAACACATTTCCTTACTGTACACTTGTGATCTCATGACCCCAAACAGAAATGCAACTCCCTCTGGGGTGAAGCTGGGCAACCGTGCAGGAGCACAGACACAGCACTTCTGACTTAAGAGGGAGGATGATCTTACCCCAGTGTGGCTGCCGAGAAACTTAAGATGGGCAGACTCTCAGGCCTTTGCCTCTGACTTGGACGAGGAAAGTGAGCTCAAAACCAAGGTGAAGAGTTGGCAGTGTGACCCTTGAAGATGATTCAAGTTAGCCTGGGGTACCCTCTCTGTTTTCCACTCCCAAACTGGGATTAACTTTATAATCTTCCATAAATATAGAGACACTGGGGGCTTTCCAATATTAGCCTGGCTAGGTACTATTTCAAGACAAATAACAGCAAGATGGCCTTGCATTCTAAAAGAGAGAAAGGGAGACAGGAAGTGAATACACCTGGAGATGCATGTTTAGGCAGGAGAGAGTCTACAATATGGCCTTGTTCTTAGAACATTAGAGAGATGGAGTTTTTCTCAGCATGCTAAAAACAGTATGCAGATGAAGAGAAAATACTAGGAGGTAAACTGCTGGTCACTGTTTCTGCAAAAGGGCACCTAAAGGTAAGTGAATCAGGCAAGACTCAAGATTGGGCAAATTTGGCCGAGCGTGGTGGATCATGCCTGTAATCCCAACACTTTGGGAGGCCGAGGTGGGTGGATCACCTGAGGTCAGGAGTTCGAGACCAGCCTGGCCAACATGGTGAAACCCTGTCTCTACTAAAAATATGAAAATTAGCCAGGCGTGGTGGTGGGTGCCTGTTATCTCAGCTACTCAGGATGCTGAGGCAGGAGAATCACTTGAACCCGAGAGGCGGAGGTTGCAGTGAGCTGAGATCGTGCTATTGCACTCCAGTCTAGGCAACAACAGCAAGACTCTGTCTCAAGAAAGATGAAACAGAGTGGGCAAATTTATTACTATGGCTCCCATCGCAGCATTTTTAACCATTTCAAATTTTGATGTCCACACAAACCTCAAATGTCTGAGAATAAATATTTAGAATGTCTTTTGAATTTGTCATGGAGAGATTCACCTATCTTTTTGTGAACAGTATTATTTTTAAAAGTCGAATTTAGTTCCCAAGGACCCCCAGTGCTTCTGTGTCACATCTGTGATGATAGTTAGCCACTTGCTGTAAATTTGGCTACATTGTATACGTGTGTAGAAAACACAGGTATCTCCTACAACTAAATAGAAACTTTTTGCATGGGTAAAAGAATCTCAAATATGCCAGTCCCTGTGGCAAAATTTTCCTGCTTTAGTCAAAGGAAAACAAACACCACAGATATAAAGATCCTTTTTCTAACTCCAGGCTCCGCAGAACTGCTCTTAAATATACAGCTTCCATTCACATTTCTGGTTGTCCCTTGAGTGAGAGGTCAGCCCTGCTACTGACCACTGCAAAGTGAGAAATGGTCTCACCACTTGCAGAACATGCAAGCCCTTCAGTTTGCTTTCTGAACAACAGTGTTCATGGTTCTGAGATAATTGCCTTAGTCACACCACCGAGCACCGGTTGGACCTTCAGCTGATACCTGGTAGAGTGGGTGTGTAGTGATGAATATATGTGTGAGTGTGTAAGCCAAAGAGTTCCATAAGACCTTCCATAGGGTGCATAAGATAGATGACCTGGCTCCCCAGAAATAGCCCATTTTACTCGACTGTCTTGCTAGTAAACAAGTGAGCCAGGGCTCTCGATCTCAGAATTCGGTTTAGGTCACAAGCTGAGGATGACAAAGGGGGCTCCTCCCTCCAGCTCTTTGAAATTTGGGGCAGATGGAAGAGACAGAAATTGCCTTCCACAATGGTGGGTCTAAAACCGATATCGTCAATCAATAGCCCCCTTCCCTTCCGCTTCCTCCTTTTGAGTTACTTTATCACCTTCCCCCACCTTTAATAATAATTTGTCCAAGGAAACACTTTGAGTGGATAAATGACTGTTAAAAAAGCACTTAGCTGAGCAAGGAAGAGCATTTTATAATTAGAAAAGGAAATGCCACATTTTTCAACATGAAAAAATTAACATTGTCACTTTATTTTGTACTAAAATATGGTCAAAGCACCTCCTTAAGCTTATCTTGGGCATGAAACTGTGGTCATTGGTGTGTGAGCTGCTAAGAGACGTGTGTTAAGTAACTGGATAGGAGAATCTGGTTCTCCTGTGAAAGGTAAAATATAAATGTGGCTTTTACTTGGCTAGTTTGGCTAGCAGAACGGAACAATTTGCTCAGTCAACAGTTACCTAAAATCTGGAGATTTTTCGATTGGCTTTTTTATGACTGGGTCTTTAGAAATTCATGTGTCAATTTTTAATATTTTCACAGAGTTAAGTCACTTTGCATTCGGAATATTTTATCTTTGGAGTGTATCTAGTCTTCTATAAAAATAATACTAGTTTTCTAGTACAAAATTGGGAGAAAGGGGAATACAGAGTATAGTAAAAATAATAGACAAATCACTTTTCTTAGGTATTTATTTACAAAACTCCAATCTTGCCCATACTACAGCATAAGTCCAAAGCTCAGTGGGGACCCTTTAAAATGGAAAATATCAATAAAAACATAAGTTATGTATCAAGCACAACATCTTTTGTGCATTGATTATTCCCATAAATTTAATTCCATCTCTTTACACTCCCAAATCGGTAATGAAGGAAAACACATTTATTTCTTGGCAGCTTGTTTTTCTTAGCCTCGTTTATACTCTGTTTTAAAATAAGACAAACATCCACTCAAAAACATCCCACCAGTGTGGCAAAAGTTACTCTGCCTGCTTTCCCTAGCATCACAAAAAAAGTGAATTCTACAAGTCTTTCAGACACACTGAATTCATACCACAAATTCTGATTAAAGCCAAAACCTATCATTTTCAAAGCACTCCCTTGCAAATGACTAAAAGAAATTTTTCCCCCTTCTTCCTTTAAAGGCTACACTCAAAACATTCGCTTGAGAAACTTTCTGAATAGTGGTATTGCCTGGTAAAACACATGCAGCAGACAAAATATCAGATTTCTTTTTCCAGCTGTCCAGAATCCCATTAGTGCCTCTTAACTTCTATCAGTCTTTTGCTATAATTAGGATGGCTTAGGGTTTATCTGGGCCTTTTTTCAAAACCAGATTTCCTTCCGAGCAGCAGCAGCTGTCATGCACAAGTACCCTGATGGTGTTGGGAAACTTATTTTGATTTACATTATGGTATAGCAATTGTGAATGTGAAGTAAAGGAAAAGACACACACACACGCACACGCACATGCACACACGTGCACACACATGTTCTTTTTATCTCGTAATTTATTCAAAAGAAAAGTCTTACCTGAGGATGATCACTCCAGTCTGGAACCTGGCTTGTTTCAAATAGAGAATTAACTTGCATGCCTTCTCCCTTGCAATTGGTGTTACCTTCTTTGGAGAGTGAGTCTGTTGAAGTTTGAAGGGTTTTTGCTTCTTGCTCTGCCTGGGTTGAAATAGCACATTCTCCTGCATCAGCATGGGAATTCCGACCAGTCGCTGCTGCTGTGCTGTGAGAAGTCTCCCTTTTATCACTCTGGGTTAGTGGGTGCTTAGCAGACTCTTTGGCATAGCAGAGATGAAGGGTACCTTCTGTTGTATTTTCTCTCAGGTTGGCATTCGGCTTCTTGGGATTTCCCTTCATTCCCAGCTGCCTCACCCTGGCAGGTTTCTGTGAACCCCTCTCGTTCCGTAAGTCCTTTCCCCCAACTCTCTTCTCAGCTGCCATCTCCCAACACTGGCTCATCCCTGAGTTTTCCGACTCACCAGACAAGGGCTTCATCTCTGTCTCTCTTACTGATTCATCCATGTTGAGCAGATTGTCACTGGCAAATTCCTCTCTTGCTTGGTGGCTGTCTCTGGTTTCTCCTTGAATTCCTGGATAATCATTTTCAGCAGCCTCCGGAGCAGTGGGGAGTTTACATCTCCCCTGTTCTGTCACTGAAGACATCCCATCCTGGTGAGGTCCCAAAGTGAGAGTCATCCCGGTGTGTGGGGATGAGGGACCGTGCTTGCAGGCTCTGCCACTCCTCACCGAAACTTCTTGGGGTTGTGAGTGATGACCACAGAAGCCAGCAGTGGCAACCATAGGCCCAGCGTCACCTGACACCTGAGGTCCACAACCCATTCCACTGAGGAAATGCTCACACCCACCCAGGCAATGCTCACCGAATTCCATCTCTTCGTCATCGCTTTCTAATAAAAAAACATGCTCAGTCCCCAGCAGGTTCCTATGCCAAACTGCATTAGAGTAATCCGTCATAACATCGGAACATTCCAGATACTCCAGGTCATCATCTGAAAACTCCTCGGTGTAGGTTAGGGTTATCTCTGGGCAAAGTTCATAGTCACTGTCAGAGTCTTCACTGGAAACCTGTGGGCTGGGTTGTTTCTTGGCCACGGCATTGTCACCTGGGTAAATGTGTGCAGTTGCCTCAGACAGCGGGAGACTGAGGCTAATGTATTTCTGTACTTTGGGATTTTGCTGACTGGAGTGTAAGCCTTCATCATGAGGGCCATCATTGTTCAGGCCACCACCCGTGAACTTGGATGCTGTGGAATGCACTGTCTTGTGGCAAAGTTCATCTTGTTTTTCGTAAACATGACTTGAATTAAGAAAAAGCAACGAATCTGCAATTTCTTCTGTGTTACTTGGATCATAAGCCTCTCCAGGGTGCCTTGTTCCTTTAACACCCAAGGGATTTTCAGAACTGGACACACTAATGTCAAGATTGCCCAGTGACTGGAGGGAGAGTGAATGGTTGGACCTGGGAGTGCCTGGGGAGATGCTTTCTTCTTCCTTATAAAGATGTTCCTTCTCATCAATCTGATTTGCACTTTCTTCTTCACACGTCCCTGTTTCATGTTTCCAACCTGTGTCCCTGTCATCTTCCAGGTTAGGAGACAGTTGTGGGTTCTCTGATGAGCACTCAACCTCAACGGAAGCAGAACAACAGATGATTCCAAAAGAGTTTTTAGCCGAGATTTGATAGACAGCAGCATCATTTTTGGTACAGCTAGGATGAAGAGAATATACAGATAAGTTTGCTACCTTTGGACATGCATGCCAACATTTTCAAACCATGGCACACAGAGAAAATGACCATAGTTTTAGTGCATGTTCAAGAAGATCTGTGATCTCCCTGGAAAAGAGTTTGTGGCCAAAGGCAACTGACCTCTGGGCTCCAGTGCCCCTAGTGCTGAGAATCCTAGGCACTCAGCATCCTCCCTTGAAACAGGCTTCAGAGAGAATAAATGGTAAATGTCCTCTCTGGACCTTAGAAGGTGTCAGATTCTCTCCTGAATCAGGAAAAGACCTGGAAAAGGAAGGAGATTCACTACAGAATGCAGATTTCCTCCCACCAGAGTATGGCTTTGCAGAGCCATTTAAAAATATGTCAAATAAATATATTTTTAGAGTCAAATACTTTGATTTTCTTTAGGACCTGTTCTTTGTTATGGGACGCTATACCAGAATGAGGTTGGAGTTGGGTATCTTCCTGCTACCGAGTCTGCTGTGAGTCTTATGATCTCTATGTTAATGTCAGTGGTGGTCAGTTGTGCCTAAACTCCAAAGAGAGGAGGGTATAATGAGGCCCATCCAACACCCTTCCTGTCATGGCCTGAACTAGATTTTTAGGTTTCTTAGGGATCCCCTTGGCCAAGGGGTGTGAGGGGGGTGCGGCTTAGAATTTAATTTTTGATTTTTTATAACACTGTCTTCTTCATGAACCTTTTCAGTTAATTCTTGGATATTTGGCCTCTGTTAAGAGCTGACAGAGAGCATAAAAAAGCACTACGAGCTGGGTACCGTGGCTCACACCTGTAATCCCAGCAATTCAGGAGGCTGAGGTGGGAGGATCAGTTGAACCCATGAGTTCAAGACCCACCTGGGCAACATGGCAAGACTCCATCTCTACAAAAAATTTAAAAATTAGCCAGGCATGGTGATACACATCAGTAGTCCCAGCTACTCCAGCCTAGGTGACAGAGCAAGACTTTGTCTCGGAAAACAACAACAAAAAAAAAGGCAGAGGGGCTGTGGCAGGGTAGGCAATATGGACTACTGGGAAATCCCAAGTAATTTTGATATCCTGACCTATCCAGTCCACGAGTCCTCTGCAGAGAAACTACCTCCCGTGAAGGTACCATGATTTGTGTAGAAGAGAGAGAAAGGAAGAAAAGAAGGCTGAGAGGTACCAGGGGCAGTAAAGCAGTAAGAAATCAGGAGAGGCGGGGAGCAGAGATGATGCTCAAGAATCAAGGAGAGAAAACAATAAGAATTTTAGAAAAACTTAGAGAAAATCATTGGGTTAAATATACTCTATTTAAATTCTTAACGACTAAATAAACAGATGGGAGATTGTCATAATTTTGTGATACATAATTTTATGAAACATGTGTTTTAGTTGATAAGAGATTTATAATCCATCCTAAGTACAGTAAATAAAGAGAAAAGGGAACTGGATTAAGTGTAATTAACTTCTCACTGGCTAATGAATGCCTTTGAAAGAGTTATGATTTGTGGCTGACACGTCCTTGCTAATTATCTCGAAGCATCCTAAAGAAGAGGGGAAGAAAATCGGGCAAGGAAGCCAGCATCTGCTGGGTGCCTCCTCCATTAAACAACGTCTTCCTCCCCCCTGTGTGCAAAACTGAGGCTTAAAGGAGTTGTTTCCCCAAAGTGACGAAGTCGGAAAGCCATAGCGCCAGGATAAGAAAGAGCCTTCCGCCCTGGCTGTCTGGCTCTGTGGATGCTGTTAGAAAACTAACATTACCAGAAAGGAAATGACACAGTGTAGAGAGATCATTCTGCAAATAAAGTGTTTCTGTCCTAAGTCTTCATCTTGATCAGCCAAATGGCAGACTTGCATAGAGTGATGGGCACCGTGGCGCCCAGCATTATGTTACGAGCTGCAGTGGAGTGAAGGAGATGCCTGAACATCATGTCCAGCTTCCAAATGGCTAAAAACTGACTGAAGGAAATAGTATTAATTTTCCAGAGAACCTTGTAGATGAGGTCTGTGCTAAGGTGCACAGAACAGACTGGATGGGAAAAAGGAAGTCAGAGAAGGGACTCCAGTGGTAGCAGTTAAAATGGTGTTAGCAGGGTTGGGGTGTAGAATCTTTGCGGGAGGCTAGCAGAGAGAGCTGCGTGCCCCACAGTGATTTGACTGGAATGCAAAACCATCCAGGAAGAAATTCCCTGAACAATTAATTGAATTCCCTCCTTGCATATCTTTTCTTTTGGCGGAGGGAAGCAGTAACATTCCTCTCCCCTGCTGTGAAAGTCTTGCTTGAATTCTCTGGGTTCTTTCTAAATTAATCATTTCCTTATTAAAGAAAAAGAAGTCCGTGTTACCTTAAGTGAATGAAGCTTCTTCTGAGTTTGAACCCCCAGAAATGGTCTAAACCAGAAAGTCTGAAAACATTTTGGTATCGAGACTCTTTAATACTCCTAAAAATAATTGAGGACTTCAAAGAACTTTCGTTTATATGGGTTATATCTCTCAATAGTTACCACATTACAGTTAAAACAAAAATTTTTAACAGTTAATTTTAAAATAACAAGAATAAATTCATTGCATATTAGCATAAATCATGTTTTTATAGAAAACATATTTTTCCAAGACAAGGCAACATTTCATGAGAGTAGTTTTATTTTAAGTGTTTTCATATACCTTTAATATCAAGCTTAACAGAAGACGGTTGGATTTTTGTATCTGTGCATTCAGTGTGATACAATACATGGTTTTGATTAATATATGTAGAAAAGTTGGCCTGACACATAAATGTGTTGGGAAAAGAAGGAATATTTTAATAACCTTTTCATCTGATTGAAGTATTCTGATTTGATATACATGAAGATTAGTTACAATGTGGAATCTGAAACCACATCAGTGAACTTTCCATACTTGTTACATAAAATCCATCATTCTAGGTTGCTTTTATTTTTTTTGAGACAGTCTTGCCCTGTCTCCCAGGCTGGAGTGCAGTGGCGCAATCTTGGCTCACTGCAACCTCCACCCCCGCCAGGTTCAAGTGATTCTCCTGCCTCAGCCTCCCAAGTAGCTGGGACTACAGGCATGTGCCACCACGCCTGGCTTATTTTGGTATTTTTAGTAGAGATGGGATTTCACCATGTTGGCCAGGCTGGCCTCAAATTCCTGACCTCAGGTGATCCACCTGCTTTGGCCTCCCAAAGTGCTGGATTACAGGCATGAGCCACCATGCCCAGCCCTATATTGCATTTTAAATGCATCTTTTACCCATGCAAGATTTTGTAACATCATACATTGGTCATTTGGAAAAACTTGGCTCATGAGATCTTCCAAATATTAATACATTTTATTAAATAATACTTTTTAAAACCACGTTTATTAATATTACCACTGATCTTATCAGAATAATTTTAAAGTATTAGAAATTGTTAAGCTTTTGATGAAGGGCACAAATTTTCCAAAATTCTACTTAGGGAAATAATATGAATGTTAATTTATTGGAGAACAGTGTAAATCAAGTCTGTGCTAAGTTGTATGGTAGAAAGTATAAGCATGGAGGATATGAGCAAGAAGGTCAGAGGAAGCATCCCTGAAAATTCTCACTGCTGTAAATGCAACAAGAACACTGGCAAAACTTGTCTGAATCAACTTTTTCAAGGCTCTGAAAATTAAAGGCAATCTGGGGAGCCTTTATTCAAGAAAAATGGCTGAATCTCAGAACAGTTTTCTGGTGCTTTAACCTGCCCTAGTTCTATTCCCCCATAACCAGCTCCACAGTAGTCTTGAAAACCAAGACTCCACAATCACAGTGAAAACAGCCTGGCAGCAGCTTGAGGGGGCAGGACACAGTTGGGGCTCCTTCAAAGCTCCATACCCAGAGTTGTCATTATTTGACCTGTCTAGTAATTCCCTGGAAGACCCCACTCACAAGACTGTTTTTGTGTGATCTGACTTAGAGTTCACTCAGCAAAAATAACTTTTTCCCTAGGGGCATTTGTATTCATTAAAAAAAAAAAAAAGGCAATTGTTTAACACCATGGCTGCTTGAGGCAGTAGATAATAACTGGGTTAAACAATAGGGGAACCAAAAAGGTTAAAAGGGAAAGCTGGGAATGAGATGCCCATAGGCGTCATTGAAAAGCTGAGACATTTTCCTGGAGCTCTAGGAGGCCATGCACATGCATAAGGCTGTGAGCAGCCTTCCTAAGCATGCCCAGTACACATGCTTAGGAAAGACCTGAGAAAATTCTGAGCTCTCACCTCTAACTGACCTTAAGGCTTTCTACTAGCAGGAAGTGAAGGCTAAGGCAGAGTTGTCATTTGCCTGGCTGAGTGTGAAAGCATGCTTCATACCCCAACATGCACACACAGCCCCTCAATAAACTGGGAGACCTATTGGTTCCAGGCACCTAAGGAAATCTCTGTCCATTCATTAGCTGACTACTAAGCTAACTCCGTAGAAACTTCAGGGGCCACAGACAACAAAGAATTAGTTCAGAAAAGTCACTAAGCAAGCAAACAATAAGCCCTGGGAAGGTGGGAGAATCTCATTTCCAGAGTTGCCACATTACATTGTTTAAAATGTCCAGTTTTCAATAAAAATTATGTGACATGCAAAGAAACAAAGTATGGCCCGTACACAGAAGAAAAAGCAATCGATAGAAACTGTTCCTACACTTGCTGGACCAAACTTTAAATTATCTGTTTTAAATATGTTCAAAGAAATAAAACCATGTCTAAAGAGCTGAAAAAAAGTGTGAGCATGGTGTTTCAATAAAGACATATAAATTATACATACAAACCAAATAGAAATTTAGAGATTTAAAATTACAGTAACTGAAATAAAAAATTCACAAAAGGGCTCTACAGCAGATTTGGGCAGATGGAATAAGAATCAACAGACTTGAAGAGGTCAGTTGAGATTATCCAATTTTAGTAACACAAAGAGAAAAGAGTATAGAAAAATAAAAAGTTCTGGAGCCCGATGGTATACCAGCTTACAACATATACATAAT